CTGCTGAAGAATCTGTAGCAGTAGATTCTTCCTCTGCCCACCTATTAAAGAAATAGTAGCCTTCTTCAGGTGTCCATTTCTTGAGAGAGTTCACTTCAGAGGCAGAAAGTCCCAGACTTTCTGTGTCCCCATGAGCCACAGCTGTTGCCACTGGATGTAAAAATGGTGACGCACATAAGTGGCTGATGTTTTGGTCAAGGTCATCATTAGATGCAGGTAATGCTACAGGTGCACCAGAAGTAGTTTGTTTTCTTGATCTCAATTTCTGGATTTCAAGATCCCGTTGCCCTTTAGGAAGTTTATCTATTTGCTGTGCTTTCAGAATCAGAGATGCTCCAAAGGTTCCTTGTAGAGTGAAAATAAAGAACCTGATGAAAGATGAAGAGAATGGATTGTCTTACCAGTGGTTCCTTCCATAATCTCCATCACATAACACAAATCCAGTTGCTAATTTTCCATTGCTGTACAGGCATCTCGTAAACACCTCATACCTTGTAGATGAAAGCTGACTCCTGGATCTTAATGCAACGTGTAACTACACACTTATCTTGAGCTGTATAGAGTCTACTGTACGTATATAAATACTAAATAAATGGTAATAGAAACACCTGATTGCTGAACAGTGCAAGAAAGATACACAGAAGCTCATCAAGAGATGCAGTACTTGAGGAGACTGAGATTATATTTGTACTTCTAAAACAGGTTAAAGAAGGGGTCTTAATTTGATAGGTAACAAACCCAGAAATGTAAAAACCTCAGCTTGTGGATTTGCTCAGGAAACAGTAAAAAAAATAATGTGTCCTACCTGTCCTTTGCAGGAGAGAGAATTTATATAACTATACACTGTGTGCAATGACAGGGCACATATCCTCCCTCCATGTCATGTCAGTTTTGTCTGAAAACCAAAGTCTCTTTCAAAGCGTCTTTCTAATAGAATTTGACCTTTACATAGATGACTTCAATATGCATTTTAAAACAAACATGGGGACTCTTTGAAATTGCATTAAGAAATCTGCCGTCTTCACATCCTGCTGCTAAATGTATGCATAAATAAGTAAAACAAGATTAAAAAGTCTAACTATGTACAGAAAAGGCTTTTAAGGCAATGGATTTCTCGGGCCCGTCTGCACAAGTAGGAGTGGATAAATATGTATTTGCTCTGCCAGTGCTCAAGCTGGTCAATCCCATAGCATCTCAGGTCTGGGAACTGTGCAGTTGCTAGATATGGTTGGGCAGCTAAGTGCACAACTACAGAGATCCCAGGTCTGTCTGTGTAGATCTGGTGTGGATCATATTGTCCTCTGTCTTTCTCCTCAAGTTGTCCTCTGTAACTTCCATGCAAGTTGCAGGTGGACAAACAGGAGGACAGAGGGAAGGAGAACAGAGTGCTTGCAGACTCTCAGACATGTCAGCTGGCACAGAAGGCAGTAGCAAATGGAAGAACTGAGGAAAGCAAGGATTTTAACAAAAACTCTTAGAAAGAAACCAGAATCTCAAGGCTCCAACTGATTTCTGAAGGAAATAGGGAGCAGGCAGCATGGTGAGATGAACCAACTGAAACTTAAAATTAAGTGCATTTTAACAAAGCGTGGTTTCACCACTGCTGTGATGTGCTGACACAGCTAAGTTGTAGCAGAAACTGCAGGCTGGATATTCCATGAACTGAGGCCTGCAGAAAATAATCTGGGGTACTTACACAACGGAACAGCAGTTCTTCAACTTTGAAGGTCTCGAGATACAAACCTTTAAGCTCAGTATCCTGCTGAGGCAGCGTGTTGGTTTTGTGTCTGGCAGGGTTTTGGTATTGGGGGAGGGGGTGGCTCCTGTAAGAGGCTTTGAGAAGCTCCCCCAGCTCCAATTCAGACCCGCCTCTGGGCAAGGCCAGGCCAACCAGTGCCTCTGCAAATAAATATATTTAAGAGGGGAAAATGTGTCGGGCAAGTTTTTTTGTTTTGGGAGTGGCAGAGAGGACGGGGATGCGAGAGAGACAATCATGCAGACACCCAGGTCAGTGAGGAAGGAGAAGGACAGATATGCTGGAGCAGAGATTCCCCTGCAGCCCATGGAGAACAGCGGTGGCCCAGATATTAGCCTGCAGCCCGTGGAGGACCCCAGGCCTTCACAGGAGACCAGGGCTGAAGGAGGCCGCGACTCCGAGGCACCCTGCGCTGGAGCAGCCTGTTGCTGGGAGGGCAGCAGCCCTGGGAGCGACCCGCACTGGGGCAGTTCGTGGGGAGCTGCGGCCCCGTGGGAAGAACTCATGTTGGAGCAGTTCATGGAGGACTGTCTGCCGTGAGATGGACCCTGTGGTGGGGCAGGGGAGGGCTGTGAGGGTCCCTCTTCCTGAGGAGGAAGGAGCAGCGGAGCCCTGTTGTGCCAGAAGGCCTTTGACCTCTATTCCCTGTCCCCTGCACTGCTGAGGGGGAGGAGGTAGAGAAATCAGGAGCAGAGCTGAGTCTGGGAAGAAGGGAAGGGGTGGGGAGAAGACGTTTCTAAGACGTGATTGTATTTCCCATTATCCTTGATGGTGGTGATGTTTAAATTAAATTGATGCTGTTTCCCCAAGTCTTTTGCCTGTGAACATAATTGGTGAGTGAGTCCTCCCTGTCCTTGTCTTGAGCCTTTTAGTTGTATTTTCTCCTCCCCATCCCACCAAGGGGGAAGTAAAAGTGAGAAAGCGAGTGGCTGCATGGTGCTTTGCTGATGGCTGGGTGGGCTTAAACCCCAACAGGCAGCAAGGATCTTAAACTTGCTGAATTCCCAAGATGGAGATAGGAGTTCTCTAACCATGTGTTTGATGTAGCTCTCAGTAGAAAGCTCAGGCTCAAAAATGACACTGTGTTTGAGGGCTGATAGGAAAATAAAAATCACACAGGAGCAAAACAGACTGGAAAAGGATGCCCTGCCTAGAAGACATGAGACCTTACTGAACCATGCGTTGTTTATCCTGACCTGAATTTATATAATATAACATGAAATCACAAGAGCATTCAACTCAAATGGAGAAATGAAATAATAAAAATAATTTCAAGAAAAAGATTATCTAGTCTTGAAAGGTTCCTTTTCAGACAAACTTAAGGCTCAGATTCCAATGCCTTAAAGAACTCACAAAATCAGATACTAAAAATATTTTCCTGATTCTTGCAATACCAGTGTGCTGCACTACTTCATGACAATTAGGATGAGAAGGAGACTAGCAAGATAGTAAAACAAACAAATTTCTTTCATTGCCCAAGCACAAATAAAGATTTTAAATAAGTGGTGCAACTCAGACAAAAAATATCTGCTTAAAGAATGATTAAGCTACTAAGAACCAAAGGTAGTAAGTTTACCATATACATATATGGGAACAGAATCATCATGTTTTTCAAACCATTTTTTTCAGCAACGTATCAAAATAATTATCCCTCTCCAAATAATCAGCCTCTGTTGAAGCTACCTGTAACACACCTGGTTTGTCGCACAGAGTAAAAATAAATTCTGGATGCAGAATATTGTTTCATACAGAAACACGTTCTTAAACTTGGCTTAGTAATGCACTGTAATGTACTTCAGAAACAGAATACATTTTATAACTCTCAAAGCATATGGGAATATTTTTGAAGACTTGCTTTCTAGTCTTTATCAGCTCAACAACATTGTGTTCATGATAGTGAACAAATATGTAGCAGATTTGTACTGGTAAACTTTGAAGCATCCTAGAAAGAAAAGTTTTCCTGATGGGAAGACAAAAGCAGTAGATATATAGTGACTTATCTAGGGTTGTATAAGTGAATAAATTAGTGGTTCATGGAAAGTTGAACCCAGGCATCTGACTTCCACACTGACCACTTATCCCTGTGCAACCATATGCCTGACATATCACATAGCTACACACATCATCGTTGTTTTTTCACTCAAATGCCTACACATCCACAAAACGAAAACTGAGAGGAAAACAGTGCATCAGTCAAACCTTGGCAAGAGTGCGATGACTGGGGTAACGAGACACAGTAAATAGAAGGTGGGGTCTGAAAGCTGTTTCTCCATAATCCAGTGGGGGTTGGTGGGGGGGTTGCAGACCACGCAGGCGGCATTGTAGATCAGAGAGAAGATGAAGTAAAACATCACACTGCCAATCATCGTTCCCAAGTGGAACAGGGTCTGTAAGCAGAAGTGCATGAAATGACAGTAATGCTTGTGAGACCCTGACTGTGGGTGTAAGACAGGAGGATACAAATACAGATTGGAAAGATCCCATCCATCCGATAGTCCATACTACTGAAAAGTGCAGTAGAGGGAATACCTGGAAATTAACTTACAAAACAACAGTGGCAGTGAATACAGTTCTTTACAGAACATGTCCTCATATATTGAAGTATGTAAAAGTTATGTCCTGTCCTGTCCAAAGGCGCAGTAGAAGAAAATTCTGTTGCTGTGCACACGAAACTATTATCCTGAGGCTAAAAATAAATTCTGGCACATTGTGACATCTCAGTACATCTGTTACTTACTTTTTGTGACCCAGAATTCAGGTAAATGACTCTGAAAGACAATGCCATATCTACACAGTATGCTATGTTCACAAAAGAAAAATTGTCATGTGAACAGGACAGGTCAAACACATACCCATGTTTTCATTTCTAGAGCCTGGTGCAAGAGAATGGTCAGGAGGGAGATGGTATTGATGGGGTTTCCAAAGGAAAACACATCTATGTCAGAGTCCTTGTATGTCTAAAAAACAGGCAGAGAAACTGTGATGAATCCTGACTATTCAGAAGTGAATTTTTCTATTTTTTGAAAGAAGGATAGGAGAATGAGAATATTGATGACCCTGGTACTTACCAAATAAGGAACAAAGAAGCAAATGAGGCTCTGATAGAAGGCATCCAACATCGTAATAATAAAAGTTGACAGCTTGTATATCTGCAGGAGTTTACAGATAACAGTCATTATGATGGGACACATCTCTCTGCTCTGTCCTGCAGACATAATTGCTGTCTGGTTTATTTCTATTCAGACTACTGATTATAGCTAACTGGTCTCCCTTCATGAGTAAACGCCTCCTGAGCAGCTGATTTAGACCAAAGGCTTATCTCTGAACGCGCATTTTCTCTGTGTTAACTAAAGACAGACCTCAGGAAGATTAACCAGTCAACTAAGGGTCTTAAAAGCTGAATGTCATGAATGCCACATCCCTCCCCAAAAGACCCCATTCCTCAAATACTTTTTCAAACAAAGCTCTTCCTACAGCTATACAATTGTTCAAAAATCCTTTCTGCTAAGGTTCCTTCCTATGAAACATCTATTTTGTGCCATTTTAATTTGAGTACTTATCACTTGTTAAACTTATTTAGCAACCTGTGGGGCCACAGCTCCTGCGGAGTGGGATGCATTATTGGAGTGACAGAAGGCTGAGGTCCTGTTGTTTCAATTCAGACAAAATGTCAAAGTAACAACAATGACCTCTTCAAAATGGTATATTTTACATATATATGAGGTCCAAGAGCTCCTAAGAAAAGGGATGGAAAGTCCTACAGAGAATCCTCAAATTCTGCTCTGCCTTGCCTATGTTGTTCAAAACATCACTAAACAAGATGTGAACCACCAGTGTTCATCAGTGCTAAAAATCCCAGTCCAGGATAATGAAAGTAGGTATTAGTAGAAAAAGGAGAGAAGAATTCCTAAGTACTCTGTAATTTTGTAAATAAAAACTAAGGCCACTTCAAATTTTGCTCAGTAATATTTTCATAATTTCCTATTAAAAATGTTAAGGCAATTTGAGAGTAAGTGCTACTGTACTGTATGTATATGCAAAGCCATGTATATCTGTATATGTGTGCTCCTTGCAAACATGGAGATCAGACTGGTTCTCTAAACCTGACAGGTAAACTGAGGTAAAAAATGTATTTCATGCATATTTTCTGAGGGTTACCAATACTGATTATTCCAAGTAAAAGAAGTAAATAACTGAAACAGTTCATGCCTGGAACAGCCTAGCCACCAAACTGTGACAAAATCCTCTATGTGTTAACAGGTGTATTTCTGAATCTCAGAGTAGAAAAAAGATGTCGGGTTGTTTATTAATTTAAGTGTTTGTGTTTTCTTGTCACTTTCTGCTGTAATCTTTTTAACAAGCTTTTATTTTTCAGTAGGTTAAGGTTGTTTGAAGCGCCAGATCTGAGCAGAGTTTAATCAGGGACCAGCTAAACTATTTTGCCCTCATTCGTTACATTTCTCAACTTGTTTTATTTATTTCTCCCTGTGCCTTCACTGAGAAATTTTCTATATATATGGTGTGTACATATATACATACACACACACGTATTTGCTCCACGATCTCTTCAGATCAGAAACACCAAACACAGGGCTGATTCACTAGCACATCACTTTGGTACCAGCATGCTGCAATATAATAAGTAAAGCGGATTGTTCCATATATTTAATGCCAGCAAAAACCTTCCCGTTTACATCTTCCAACTATGACCAAGCACCCAGCCTCACTTCTAGGAAGAAACTTCAATTGTATGTTCCTTACCAGCTCTTCTGACAGCTACAATTATACCTTATTTTAGTGGATGTCATTCAACTAGAAACCGTAAATGGAATTTGTTTCCAAGTAGGTCTAAACTCTTCCTTGCCTTCCCACAAACCTGTGGTCCTTTGGTTTATCAGGCAGTTATTTCAGCAATCAAGACATACCTCTGAATTTTGTCCATTCTTGTACAACGCTGGCAAACCTAGAAGTGTTTCTGCAGAAACATCTCTATCCAGGACTCCAAAGAGAAGAGGGGGCATCGAGGTGAAGAAAAGATTGAAAAAAATCATCTGCCAGTAATCTATCATTGTGCTGCCTGAGAACCCGCAGAAGAATTGGTACCAGAAGAGCAGGTTGACGTAGCTCTATGGAGAAGCAAATACAAACACAACACCCACTTACAAGGTGAACTGTGGCTCCCCACACGTGCAGAAGGACATCCTTCATGCTGATGTGATTTAATTTCTCTTTGGCTTGTGGGAGTCGTGAAGCTGCACTTTTCCTGTGGACGCTCCCTACGTCCTCTTCCTTCCCCCATACTGCTCCCGTACCATTACAGCTGATCTGGACCCTTTAGTTGGCAATGCATAGATGGTCTTTGTCTCTCATAGTTCCACCTATGAGGTTTGTGTAGCAAACTCTGTTACTAACAGAGTCTCCCAAGAATACTTTATTTTGGTTAAAGTACTGTCAGTAGACAGGTTTGCACTTTATTCCACAAAGCAGTATATCTTAAGAGTCTACTTCACACCGATCTACCTGACACAGCTTTTTAGAAGCCACTAGGTTTCTTTAAGAAAATCTCAGAGAATAATTAAGTAAGTAAACTGTTCACAGCTCTGAGCACCAGATTTTAAAATCCTTTTACAAACTAGTTGTCTGTGCAGAATCAAAGGTCTCCTACTGCCTAATGGTACGGGCGAGATAACAGAACAGCAGCATCCCAGTCTGGAGAGCAATTTCACATTGCACATAAATATCCTTTGGACTCTAAAAGGATGCCCAGTCAAGAAAAAAAGAAGTTTCCTTTTCCACTACAAATTTTAACAGTGATAAGAAGCAACTTTTATTCAAAATTATTAACCCCCCCAAACAGATACTTTGAATTCTAAGTAAATAGTCTTTCATTCTCAGAGTGTATTTCATGTCAAGTGGACTTGTTTGCACAGTCTTGTAGCAACTGTATTACTATCAGATTGTCTTTGTTACATTATTCTTCAATGCAGAGCTCATTTGCATATACATTAAATTTTTAATAAAAATGCCAGATATGACTGCATCATTACTTGCAAGTGGTTCCTATCAAATTAAATGCAAAAACTCAGAGGTTTCACAGGCAACCAATTCTTAGTGCAGAGTCATCTTCTATGTTCTAGCACTAATAATCTATTCTTCCTTATGCAAATTTTATTTTGAGGCTCACGGGTATTATTAATAAAGTTTCTTGAACTACCATATAAGCCTCGAGTCCTTTTTCCCTCTGGAATAACGCTATTTCAAAATATATTTATAACTCATATTTTCCACAATGCTTTATGCAGCACATTACTAAGAAGGAGGTAGCACAGTATAAACTTGCAAAGTGAAGAAACCGGAACTGTAGATTCATAAAAGGTAAGAGAGTACAACCTGAGAAAAACAGAACAGAAACAAAATAAAATCCCCATCCCTTGCTAGGATGAAACCTTCTAGAATTGTAATAATCTTACCACATTTTTGTAGAAAAAGTAAATCACCATCTTTGCCAGGCGAGCATAACACCAATGTCCATGGACAAGAAGCAGTTTTTTGAGATGCTTAAATCGGGATATTGCAAAGTCACTAGCCATCACAGCCTTTGGTAAAAACAATAGAAGATAATTTACAATATGTCTTTTTCCCCACCCAATATGATGAAAATTGAATATGGACATTGAAACAATTTCCTACTACTGAATATTGTAGGGGAAAAAAAGCCCTTTAGAAAATATTTGGAACTTTCTGTCTCTGCAGAACTCTCCCTTTTAGGAGAATGGGGCAGGGTGATGTGTGGGAAAGAATTTGGGACAGAAAACACTGAAAGAGAATCAACAAAACCTGGAAATACTATAGCAGAGACGATTCAGAAACCAGATGCTAACCTAACAGTGGACAGGCATCTGCTAATTTTCCAGGCTTATGAGCAAACACACATTTGTTCATGCATGCTAATTGTTGGCTCAAAACATTGTTTTTTGGCTGGATCCATAATTATGAACTGCATATTAATTTATGACAGTAATGATGTCAACTTGCATTTTTAATATGACACTCAAGAGTACAGGGCTGCTATGAAACTTATCAAGCAGCAAGAGACCACATAAGAGAGGAAAGCAATTAAGTTGAAGGGATACCTGCATGCCTTCTTGGCCAGATATTCCAACTCCAACATCAGCTGCTTGAATCATACTTACATCATTTGCACCATCACCTAGAATGGGAAGACAGGAGGGAACAATAAAGGAGCAAGAAAGGGTGCTTAATACAAAGTGCCTATATCAGAACAAGAGAATAACTCTAGCTATGATGATAAACAAAGGCTATTCTGTACTACTATGAATATTAATTAGGGTAACTGTTACTCAGCATCAAGCAATCATGACCTCTAGTCTCTGATCTTGGTTGGAACATCCTCCTTTCCAGGATACCTGGATCCACCAGGGCTAAGCCTGACATTGGTACCAGCTGAGTGGTGGCATGGACACCCTGACACCCTTTACATCTACATTGTTTTGTATGTTTCTGCTTGGTGAAGTCCATACGCTCAGCAACATGCTTTGCAACACCCGACTTCACTGAATTCTCCAAACTATATGATAAATTTGATTGCAGTTGACAATGTAACAAGCCCATTTCGGGAGTTATTCTGCTCATTTCAACTTGCAGCAATATGTTAAATACATAATCAAATTTCCATGGAAAGAACAGACATGGTTGTTGCCTGAAATGTGGAGACTGTGAATTAGGTTAGCTGGTAAAGTGAAATAAATTAAGTGGAAGGTTGAAAGCTTGTATTTTGAACTCTAAGGCAAAGCAAGAAATTTTAAAATACATCAGACTCTTCCTTTTCTGTTTGGTCCACAGAGGTATATTTTTTATTTTTAAGTCAAAAAATTCAATTCTGCAAGGATTTTAGTGGGATCACTTACCGAAAGTGGAGCAGGAAATTCAAAGCATTTCACATTATTTGGAGGTAAAAAGCAAATGAGTCAGTGCTTAATACCACTCTGGGGATAACTCTGTTTTCACCAGTTGAGAAAAATCTGACAAGAAAAGGGCTTTATGAAAAGACAAAACAGTGACTACTATTGATTACTTTCCATACCCAAAGCGAGGGCATTCTGGAAGGAATATGTACATACATTTGTACTGGTGTGCATGAAAGGGACTGCTGGGAGATTCTGAATTTGGAGTGCCTTCATCTTGTTTAAATGGGGGCCGGATTTGCTCAGTGAAAGCTGAAGAAGGATGTTCGTATGGTTTTTGATCAGGAAAGACTATTCAATGCTATTTTCTCACTGTATCTATCTGAGGCACAAGAAACAGCGCGTACAGTGTATTCCATACATGTCCATAACGCATAATAAAAGCATATGCTTCCCCCTTTCTCCTGTGAGATTCAGAATGGAGGTACCTATTGACAGGGTCATCGCTTTAAGCTGCCTCCGGACGAGCTTGACCACCATGCTCTTCTGAAGAGGGGTGGAACGGCAGCACAGCACTGAGCGGCAGTGCTTTGTCAACTCCAGGAACTTCTTCTCCAGGCCCCCCTGGAAGATGATGTTCAGTGTCTGTCCATCAATAACCAGTCCGAACTCAGGACTGGGGCCCTCAGAGGCTGAGAAAGATGCTGGGATAATGCCAAAAAATTTCCTCCGTGTTTTTTCAACCTCATAATTCTTCCTCACCTCTTCCAAGGTTAAATTCAAGAGAGATTCACAAGTTTCCTGTGAGAAAACAGAAGTAGTTCTAGAAATAGTTATCTCCATCTCCCTTTAAAGCACATCACCTTACAAAGTTATGTTTGTATAATCATGCCAGTGGGTTTAAGCCTATGACATAAACAATAAGGAAAACTGACTTAGAAATGCACCAAATAATCAGATTGGAGATTATTTCAACTATGTCATCAAATACTTCAGTGAAAACACTGCACATCTTATCAGCTAGTTAACTGTAGTCAGGAATTATTTTAAAAGAAAAGAAAATAATCGTTACATTAGGAAGACATATTTGTATTTACAATGCTGAGAGTTCAGAAATTTAAAAAAAATCATTTTTTTCTAAAGGAAATTTTAAAGATCTACTTCTGATAAAAATGACGTGAGATATTGCAGCATTTGCTTCTCTCAGAAATAAACTGCAGTAGAGAAACAAGAGGTTCAGATTTTCAAAATTACCCAGTAACTTTGACAGTTTGGACTTTTCTAGGTCACAAATCAGGTGTGTGTCACAGTTATAGACAGAAACAAAGCTTCATATTGCCCAGCACTGTGCTTCAAACACAAACTGTCTTTTCCTCTTAGCAAATCTGCCTCATTTTGGACTGAAGTCCCCTTTTAGATGCAAAAAACTGGAATTAACTTAGAAACAAATACAAACAGATTTAAGGGGAGCACTTTCACCTCTCCCATATAGATGTCCTAAATTGGCACACCATTATAAGAGAAAACCCAAAATGATCTAAAAGTGATTTTGCTGCCTGTTAGTGCTAAAAGTCTTCCTTCTATGGCATGGCACTGAATACCTGAGGGGTTAATCTCTCCCTTTTCTACCTTTTCTGTCTGCTTTATTGAGTGATGATTCAGTTCTGAAATGTTATTTTCACTTTATGTTGCATAAGGTACATGTGTAGGATGTTTGCAAGATTTAAATTACACTTAAGTGGGAGGTTCTGGAATCAAATGTACCTCTGACATCTAATAAAAATCTGCATCTAGCCTGCATGCTTAAAACCTCTAAAAAAATATCGAAGAAGTATGATCTTTCTGTGAACAAACCAAACATTGCAGCGGAAATTCCTGGTTTGCTTTGGCTTGCCTTTTTAAACAAACCGCCCAAACTACATACTTATGCTGCTTCTTTCTGGAAGAGATTTAATTTTCAGTGTTTGAATAAGCTGTTCGGCTCACGGGGTAAAGAGAGTCCCTTCCCACTGAAGCTAGTTCAAGGGTTAAATTTGGCAAAATTAATGGTTAAATGCTTTGTATGGATTGTTCATTTTCCCCTGCTGCTGCCACTAGAGACCCTTACAGAACTAGCATCTTCGGCTTCGTTTTGAAAGGGAGGGAACTAAATTTTATTGTGGAGCGACTCCAGTGCCCACTGAACAACATGTATTCACACGCACCCATATATGCGCAGTTTGCATTGGAGCCTGGATCGAGGGCCATATAGGGTGCTATGGGAAGTGCACGTGCCTGCGTTTCCTGGAGCCGGGGTGGTCCCGCCTGCAGCATCACTTCTCTGACAGAAACCATCTTCTAATTTCCATCCTAAATATATTCATTCTGCCTTCCGTTAAAGCAGATATGCGTATCAAATGAAATTACACATTGAAGCAAGGAATGTATTCCGTGCCAAATTCCATATCATCTTTGCATGTTTCCCTATTTCCGTAACATTAAAGGCGAGAGACATTTGCATAGGATTTTATTCTTGTTTGGAGAGCTACTAACTGCAGACAAAAGCAGTCAGAAAGTAGGCCATCTAACTGCTCCATACAACTGCCTATCACAAGAAAAACAGTCAGTATTTTAACTGTATTTGATTAATCCTCACAATAGCTTTACAGAGCAAGGCAAGCTTGTATCAGTACCCCCCTTCTGTGGGGAGAGAAAACGAGGCAACCAAGACCAGTGACTTGTCTAGTCACAGAAAGAAGCCCTGCCTTTCCTCCTCAGCCTCCTGTCTACCCATGGAAAGGCTCGTCTCACAGTAACACCTGTTACTGCTGAGTACGGGCCACGAGTGTACACTGCATGAAACAGAGCAGCGCACTGGGCAAAGGGCAGCGGCTGCTGCCTGGGGCACCACAGGGACATCCAGGGCTATACGGGCAGCAAGAGGTCACTGGCAAGAAAATAAAAAAAGAGCATCACAACTGGAATTTGGACCCTGGTTTTGTGCTTTAGAAATGATCGGGGCTGACCTCTCCTTAGCAAATGGATCTGGTTTAACCATAATGCCTGAACTCACTCTCCCCTGCATCAGTCTCACAAAGCCATCTGTCCCACCAAGATGCCCCAAGGGATGAGATGCTAGGCTGTGTGGGGTGGTGGCCATTCTTCTTTCCAAAAGCAAGGCATGGTTTTCCTGGTACCCTACTTACGTTGCTTCACGAGCTGCATAAGCCAAGGTTGCTTTTCTAAAGCCTTTTACTTTTGCCGTCCTTAATTTACCCTCCTCAAAAGTTAGGACTCTATTTTCTCTCTTCTGTTCAGACAGTTTCAGGAATAGCCATAGGTTACTCTACAGCTTGTTCACCGTATTTTAGTGAGTCACAGGAGCTGACAGACATGACCTTGAAGTGATTATCCTCATTTTGGTGTATGTTTGCTTTGCCTACTGCCTGACCTTCTTATTGCCCATGGAAATTCAGGAAATATCTGTGAACATCAACTACGTGTGCCACCATGGAATGCCAAGGAAGCATTAGCCAGCCCACAAGATCTATATTTAGACTTCCAAGAAGGTGAAATCTGCTTACACAAAAAGGTACTGCATTAAACTGTTCACTAATAAATTTCTGATTAAGCCTGACCCTATTAAGAAACATGCAACTAGAAAGTTCTGAATTTATTAAATCTACACCTGCATACTTTTTCCAGACTGACTCATACAGTACTTTCCAAATGTCTTCCTACAGATATCACCTAGGGTTAAAATATAATTGTAAGTGAAATTTCCTTTGCAAGGTGAAAAGCCAGATATCAACATTACTAAGGAATCAAGCACTTAAACTACATGTTACCTTCTTTCTAAAGGTTACTGTTCAAGTAACTTTTTAAAGAATATTTTCATTTGGAAGACTCATTGTATTTTAATTGAATAAAACTCTATATAACTATCATGTGTTTCAATTCGTCTTGTTACATGCAGTATAAAGAGTTTCTGGCCTAATGCTGCTATATGGGTTTTTGGTTGGCTGCCTTGAATGCAGCCTGAAGCAAAATATTGCCAAGCTGCAAGACACGAAGAAAAGGAAAAATAGCAAATGCAGTGCATCTCTCTGTACTCACCTTATTTTCAGTGTTAATGGTGAAGACAGTGTCTCTTTGGTTCAGGAGTTTACAGGAATATGCAATGTTAACTGCTGTTTCCTGTTTGTCTCCTGTCAACACCCAGATTTGTATCCCAGCTTCTCGAAGAGCTTCGATAGTGTCAGGCACTCCATCTTGCAGCCGATCTTCAATCCCTGTTGCTCCTGGGCAAACAGGAAAAGAAGTAGTGAACTAGTTTTCTTTCATTTCTAAATCAAGTTACTCTTTTTTTTCTTTTTTAAGAAACAGTCTTTGACTTCCAGTTGTGATCCTGAACTTATCAAGAGCTGAGCCAAAATATTGTCCATCAAATAAACACACAGGCACAAGATCTGCATTTGGATTAAGATCTGAACATGTCAGTAGTCAAGTCCTGGCTCTTCATTTTGCTCATTGCTAGAACCATGCATTTCATTTCTTCTTAATAATCCAAAATGACAATGTACTGGCAGAGGAATTACACTATATGCATTTTTAAAGTACTGCATTAAGTCCCATCAAAGCAACCAGAAAAGACAAAGTTTGACTATTTACATGAACGCTGTCCTTATTGTCAAATTAGATGCTTCACCCATCAAAGGGAGAAGAAATGGTACAGTAAGTTTTCTTTTTGAAAATGCACAAACTTAGAAGCATATGCCAACATTCATCCTAACGGTAAAGCACCATCTGAATGTTTCAATGCTCCTCTTCTTATCTCTTCCACTAGAGGTCAGTTTGAAGATGCTATAACTATGATACATTAAAGATATCAATTTAAGCTAAAAGAACACTTTTTGTGAAATAAAGTATGAAAGCACACAGAGCCTTAAGAGTTGGCAAAGGTAACAGATTCTGGCAAGATCTACATTACCTCTTATGTGGTTTTGCTTATGGCATTTACTGTTATTACTCTAATTTTTTTAAATCACTGCAGAGCTTACGAGAAGCCATAATGCTCGCAATCACAGAAATTTAGGATAAAAAAGTGTGGGCACAGATTGTATTCATAGAAAGATGAACCTGAGACAACTTTGAAAATCAAAGTCTTAAAGAACAAAATGTTTGGAAACAAAATAGCAAAGAAAGCACTGAAGTGCTCCATAACTTAATAGAACAGATTTGTTAGATATGACGGTGATGGATGACCCACAAGTGCAAATGAATGTAAGTTTTAACATGAAATATACTGTTATGAAGTGCAGAAAGCAAACATGACAATGCAACAGCAGCAGGAACTCACCAGCAAAAATGTCTATGTGTTTAAGTCGCTGTTTTTTATAATACAGTTTAGTTACCATATTTCTCTTGGAATTTGTGCTCAAAACTGAAGGCAATTTATTGTATTTTACAGGTTTACCTAAGGACACAGACACATGATTGAATTACAGGAACTTCATTATTTACTTTGTCAGCTGAGCTACAGTAACAGCTGATGTACATGGTCTTTGCTCCTGGCACATTTTAGTTTCAATACACTTTTTCAAAGTTACTGCTGCTCAAAATGCACAAGAACTTCTTTAGACACTGTCATTGGACTGTATACACTAGCCCTGAGATTTCCAAACCTCAGAGGAAGACTTTTTGATATAAATTAATATAAGACGTTTTCTGTCTGACTGCCAAGAATATCACAGGAGAGAAAGTGATACTTCACACAATGACGATTCTTATTTTTAGCTACCCAGCAAGGTGAGTTTGGTCTCCAGATGCTGTGCTGTCTCCATCAACAGCTCATCTCTGTTGTCAATTGCAGCTTCTGCCTCTCGACGAAAATTGGCCCATTTTTGAAAGTCGTCTTCAGTCAAGACCTGCGTAACACAATTTAAACAGAGCTCATTTTAAATTTAAATAAGAGAAGAGTGCCAACATTCTGGATCACAGAGGCTTAGCTCTTATCCAGGATGGTAAAGTACTGTGTTGTCTTTAAAATAACACAAACTTTTCCAAGAGGAGACTACAAGAACTAGTAGTAATGAAGAAAATAGACTTGCCTTCCTGTTTATATAAATGGCCTACAGCTGAGGCTTAAAAACATCACCTTAGTTGGGACTCTGAACTGGAACACACAGTTTCTGAAGGTTGCTTTACATTTCTCCAGAGCCTGAATGACCTGTTTGTTGCACATAGACAACTTCTGTATTAAAGTATCAGGCTAAGATGTACTAACCCAGGCTGAGGGTAAGATTTTTGAAAGCTGAATGCCAAGCAAAACAGAAAAAGGTTGGCTCCTCTGCGGACTTTTTATTTCTTGCTTGGAATCACTGTAGAGAAGGTCAGATAGAGTTATCATAAGAGAAACAGAAATGAATGTTTTGAGCCTGAACAAAAAAATCCATCATCTGCTCACACTGAGGAAAAAGAGGAAAAAAAAGACTGCAGAGCAATCAAATAGAGTAACAACCAAAAAGATGGCTTGCTCTCTAAAGCAGACAGAATTATAACCATTACATTTTTAAAATAAATCTATTGACATGTACAAAGCAAAGCTGTAGACAATATTAGGCAAATGCCCTCCTACCTTCTTAGCTATGCACAGAGTTCGTAGGCCATCACGGGCATAGTAGTCCAGATGCTTCTGTGTTTTTTCTTTTAACCTTCTCTTCTCTGCACTAACGTCAGCTGTGAAATACAAGGAAAAGGTTCTGTATTTTAACCACAGATCAATTCGGACCTAATGGCCTAAGATTAAAAAAAGAATGGGCATTAGAGAAAACTGGATTCTAGTAAAATAGTAATTCTTTTAAAAGCTCAAAATTGTTGGCTCTGCATGAGCTGAAAGCTTGCTAAAGATCCTTGCTTCCTTTAACATAACTTTACTTGTTTTTTTTGTCTGTTTGTTTGTTTGTTGATGTTATAGCACTCTTGCTAATAAGCTGAAATACGATGGTCAGGCCCTTATAACAGTATTATGGCAGAGTACACAATCCACATGGGTTAGCACTGTCAGTGAATTTTAATTAGCCCATTCCATATTCTAAGCACTACTCAGGTTATATAAATACCTCAGTTCTGATCTGCAATGATAACATCAGAGAAAACTTATTTTTCTTTTATACTTCTATGCCTAGATATAATATTTCATCAGAAAAGAGAAACTTCTTGTGCTTCTTTATAAGACACACAACAGGAATAGCTCATTGGCTAACTACCTTTGGCAGAGTCTTCCAGCAAGTCCATTATAACAGAGTCAGCTCCTTTTGTATAGACAACGATCTCCTTGGTTAGAGGGTGTCTCACCACCACAGACATCCTTTTCCTTACTGAGTCAAATCCCAAAGTGTAAAGAATATCGAAAGTGAGGAGCGTGCCTTTTGGCAACTGTACAGTCACCTGTTCTGGAGTTCGAGACACTAAAGTAAAACTATATGCCTGGGCAGCATAGACAAGTGCTGCCTCGTCTGGGCTTTCAGCCTCATAACAGAAGTCTGTTGGCAAAGAACTGTTAGTCATGGATTTAAAAACCTCATCCAAGGAAGCACTGCCAATATCTGTGCTGCCCTTGCCCTGAAGATCATTGTCTCTACTGCTGGCACAGCAGTCATCGTCATTGTCACAGCAATCCAACGCAGCAAGATGCTCCGCGGTGTTCCTTGCGCTGAAGCTAGCACCTAGGTCTGAACTAGACTGAGATGATGAAAAAGACTGACTAAGGCTTGCTAATTTTAGCCGTTGAAATATCTGATGAATCTTCTCCAGGGTGATTCCTGAAGGTTTTATTGGTGGTGGGACTGTGACCTGAAATATGAGAAAACCTACGTTTAAAATAAATAAATGTGAATTACAAGCTACTTTACAATACCTCAATATAATTTTCTGTATCTGAATAACAGTTATTAGAAAATCAACTTCTTAATTTTTTTTCTATTTAACTGTGGTGGTGGAATTCTGTAGAGGAGTTGTACGTGAGTTGGCATCCAAATTTGATGTTGATTTGTAGCTCTGCCTCTGTGGCAGACATGGAATCAAGCACCTGGTAGTTCTGTCATTGCCTGGGAGATCAGAGAAAACCTGGTATGTTCAACATACTTCTTACAGCATAGATAACATAAAATCTAAAAGAAAAAGTTCAGATACTGTGGTAGCCATCGCTATTCATCAAACATTAAAAGCCACATTAGGAAGGGATATACACAGGCAGAAAACCAGCAGATATTACATAAAAGGCAAAACAACTAGAGGAGAACTCCTAAACAAACTATTTTTCTCCATTTCAGGTTTCACTGAGAAATGCTCTGTGTCGTTAAATGGAAGCCTAATCAGTTTTCTTCATATATTTAGATTACCCTTTGTCTTGGCTTGGTAGCTGTGGAGACCAGGACTGTATTGCAAATGGCAAGGGCAAGAAAAAAGTCAGTAAGGGATGTGGAAGTCTTCGTATGTAAAAAAGGAGAAAGGTTTTCAGTCTGGAGTGCAGCTTCTCTCACGTGCCTCAGCAGGCTGCTATCAGGAGTCACATCCTTCTCCTAGAAGAGAAATTACTTAATGAGGGTTATTCCCATTTACCTTTGTCCTCAAGGAAGAACTATCAACGTGATAGTTTCTTCTTGCCTCTTATTGAATTTACAAATAGAATTATGTAAGGTAAATGCCTTTTGTACTTAACATCTGGGGAAAAATACATTTCTAAAAGCTGCATAACTAGATCATTAGAAGGAAATGCATCCAGAAATAGAAGATGACTTCAGAATTGTATTTCTTTTGAGATCTAGTAGAAATCAAGAATAATCTATACTGTATCCTCCAACTTTGAA